CCTTCGGGATTTCCCGGCAGACCATCGAATTCAACTAAAAATTCCGTTTTAAGACGTCGTGAGGCCTCATGTTCGTTACTACTACGCTCTGATAGCAGCGAATCAACTTCATCTATGAAAATAATAGATGGCTGCATTTCACGTGCCACTGCAAAAAGTGCGCGTACTAACTTTTCACCATCTCCTACATATTTGCTGGTTAGAGAGGCGGCGGAAATATTTAAAAATGTCGCACTACATTCTGTTGCTACAGCCCGTGCCAATAGCGTTTTACCATTGCCTGGGGGACCGAACAAAAGAAGACCTTTAGCGGGTGCGCGCAGTCCTATAATAGTGAATACCTGCAGCATTAATGCCAGATTCTTTTCATTATTTCGTTAAGCGCATATTTACCTGTGAAAAGCTCAGGACGTACGGAGGGCAAAATAACCATTTCCTGCAATGCTTGTTTAGCCACTTCCTGTCCAGCTATATCAGACCATTCCACTTTGGCGCCTCCCTCTACGATTTCATCCAAAATTATTTGCACCAATTTTTGTTCTACTCCTTTAACAGTTACGGCAGGCGCGGAACCACTGCCACTACCTTGGCCACCATAGTTGGAACTTGAATTTATAGGTGTTCGAGCACGTTGAGGCGGCGTATTTCTACCAGATGTCTAAAAATATAGGAAATGATGCATTAAGTTATCAGCAGACTTTAATAGGACAAATTGAAAAAAAACAGATTGTTTTTTATTATTCTAAACTTATTTTTATCAAATTGTATTGAATAAGTCTGTCACTGCTGAGTAACATCTTAAGTTCTCCGGAGGAGTTTTTCCGCAGTAACGTGTTTTGAATATAACGCTGGCTCAAAAATCGATTTTTTCAACAATATCAACATCATTTGCCGTTATTTCAGTGCAAATGTTTTTTAAATACGTATATATATAATTTAACAATCGATCTTTCAATTAATATAACTTAGTACTTATACTTTTCCCTAGAAATGTGGTGAAAAACAATATTTATAAAACTGATATTCATAAGAGTCTCGTTCAAGCACGCGTGTCCCGCACAACAAATTTCATTCCATTAACTTTTTGAAATACATACATTCAAAGTAAATCGTCGTTTAAAGTACAAAACCGCGTATCAGCAAAATGCGAAACCTCGTATTAGCAAAATGCAACACCGCGTAAGTGAAGTTGTAGAAATTATTTTCTAGAGCGTAAAAACACTTACATATATGTCAAAATGGTTCTCTTTTTTATAAAGCAATCGCATTTCGGAAAGAAATGCAATGGACGGGGCAAGGAAACGTAAGCGTGAAGCCTTGCGACGTCTACTACAGTTGCCACGTAAAGGAGCGCAAATTCGGTGTTGGATTCGTGGTAGGAGAGCGACTCCGTCGCCGAGTACTGGCGTTCACCCCGGTGGACGAACGTCTAGCCACAATCCGCATCAAAGCTAGATTCTTCAACATCGCGCTCATCTGCGCCCATGCCCCGACGGAACAGAAGGATGAGGCGTTCAAGGATCTCTTCTATGAGCGCTTGGAACGTACATATGAGCGCTGCCCCCGACACGATGTCAAAATCGTGCTTGGCGATTTTTATGCCAAGGTGAGCAAGGAAGGGATCTTTGGCGCCACTGTCGGAAAATTCAGCCTCCACGACGAAACGTCCGATAACGGACTGAGGCTGATCGACTTTGCCGGGGCCCGAAACATGGTAATATGTAGTACTAGGTTCCAGCATAAGAACATCCACCAAGCTACATGGCTGTCTCCAGATCGAAAAACGAGAAACCAAATCGATCATGTTGTGATAGACGGAAGGAATGCTTCAAGCGTTTTGGACGTACGTACACTCCGAGGGCCAAACATCGACTCGGACCACTATCTTGTTGTAGCCAAGATACGCACCCGCCTCTGTGCAGCAAAAAATGTGCGCCCAACAATGCAAGGAAAGCTTAAAGTCGAAAAGCTGCAATCACAACAGACGGCCAATTTATTCGCCACTCGACTCACACACCTGCTCTCTGAGAGCACTCTACAACAATCCGACATATACGAGCAGTGGAACCATATTTCCCGATAATTAAGTACCGTCGCCGAAGAAGTAGTTGGATTTCAGCGAGCCCGAAAGAACAACTGGTACGATGAGGAATGTCAAGAAGCCACAGAGAAAAAAGTTGACGCCTACAGGGCCACGCTGCGATCGGGCGCAACGCGAGCCATGTGGGACCGTTATAGGGAACTGAAGAAGGAAGCGAGACGTATTTGCCGCAATAAGAAGAGAGAGGCCGAAATACGTGAGTGCGAAGAGCTTGAGATGCTGGCCGACAGGAAGAACGCCCGAAAATTCCACCAGAGGGTTAGGCGACTTACGGAAGGTTTCAAGACCGGGGCGAACTCCTGTAAGAACAACAATGGCGACCTAGTGACCGATGTTCAGAATATACTTGAATTGTGGAGGGAACACTGTTACAACCTACTGAATGGTAGCAGCGCTGAAAGTAGTGAAGAAGACGAACCCGAGTCCCTAGTCGATGATGATGGAGTAGCTGTCCCACCGCCTGACTATGACGACGTACGAATAGCGATTACGCGGCTGAAAAACAACAAAGCTGCTGGAGCTGACGGCCTGCCAGCCGAGCTATTCAAGTACGGCGGCGAGGAGCTGATGAGGTGCATGCATCAGCTCGTATGCAGAATATGGTCAGATGAACGCATGCCCGACGACTGGAATTTAAGTGTGCTCTGCCCAATCCACAAGAAAGGCGACCCTGCCACACGCGCCAACTACCGCGGAATCAGCCTTCTAAGCATAGGTTATAAGGTCTTATCGAGTGTATTGTGCGAAAGACTGAAGCCCACCGTCAACGAGCTGATTGGACCTTATCAGTGTGGCTTTAGGCCTGGAAAATCCACCATAGATCAGGTATTCACAATACGCCAAATCTAGGAAAAGACCCGCGAGAATAGGATCGACACACACCATCTATTTGTCGATTTCAAAGCCGCTTTAGACAGCACGAAGAGAAGTTGCCTTTATGCCGCGATGTCTGAATTTGGTATCCCCGCGAAACTAATACGGCTGTGTAAAATGACGTTGAGCAATACCACCAGCTCCGTCAGAATAGGGAAGGACCTCTCCGAGCCGTTTGATACCAAACGAGGTTTCAGACAAGGGGACTCCGTTTCGTGTGATTTCTTTAATCTGATGTTGGAGAAGATAATAAGAGCCGCAGAACTGAAACGCTCAGGCACAATACTTTACAAGAGCGTACAATTGTTGGCGTATGCCGACGACATCGATATTATCGGTAAAAACAAGGGCTACGTCTGTTCTGCCTTCTCGGGATTGGATAGAGAAGCAAAGCGAATGGGTCTGGTAGTGAACGAGGACAAAACGAAGTATCTCCTGTCATCACACAAACAGTCAGAGCATACGCGTCTTGGCACCCACGTCACTGTTGACAGTTACAAGTTTGAAAAAGTAGACGACTTCGTTTATTTAGGAACCAGCATTAACACCAATAATAAAGTCAGCCTTGAAGTCCAACGGAGAATCACTCTTTCCAACAAGTGCTACTTTGGGCTGAGTAGGCAATTGAGAAGTAAAGTCCTCTCTCGTCGTACAAAGATCACACTCTATAAGTCACTCATCATGCCTGTGCTGGTGTATGGCGCGGAGACATGGACAATGAAAGCATCTGATGAGGCGGCTCTCTGAGTTTTCGAGAGAAGGATTCTGCGAAAGATTTACCGACCTTTACGCATTGGTGATGGCGAATATCGCAGACGATTTAACGATGACCTGTATGAGCGAATTAAAATTCAGCGGCTCCGCTGGCTTGGCCATGTCGTTCGAATGGACAGAAATATTCAACGCGGGCCGCGATGCTGGTAACAGAGGAAGGCCTCCTCTGCGTTGGAAAGACCAGATGGAGAAGGACTTGGCTTCCAATTAGCACAGAAGAGAAATGACTGGCGTGCTGTTTTGGACTCGGCCAAAATCGCTTAGGCGGTTACAGCGCCAATAAAGAAGAAGAAGAAGATATTTCAGGACGAATGGATAAGGATTCAGCCAAGATTTTGTGGGAGCAAATCCAATTTTTGGCAGCCAATGTCAGTTACGCGGTTTAGCAAAATGACGACACGCGGTTTTGTACTTTAAACGACGAAATGTATTCTTACAAAATTTTGTTGGTGTGATTAACATAGATGTTAGTACTGCCAAACGTTATTTTTGTTTGTTGTTGTTGTTAACCGACTTAAAAAAAGGAGATGTATGTTAACGGATAACTTTGGTCACATGAACCTTTCTCGATAATTCTTTTTTCATGGGAATGGCCACACCTCAAAAGTGGTCCCACAGTTATTTGGTTCAGTTCCGATAATTGGATCATGAAAACATTAACTGTACAACTAAATTTGCGATTTTTTACCAGGGTCCGAAAATAACCATTAAATATCAAGATTTTTGTTTATAGATCCTTGCAAAATTGTTATTTTTGGATTTTTACAATTTCGGTCTAGAACAGTCGTAAAATTTTTAATTTTATTTTTTTGGTCAAGTTTAATCACTATTTTGCGATTTTTTTTTTCAGTCAAAAATAATCCTTATTTTTGAGCTTTATTTTTTTTGCAACCATTTTTAGCCGGTATAATGTAGACAGAGTTTTTATGACCGATTTAAAGGTTTTATGATCTAAAAAATTAAATCTGAAAATCTATATATATAAATGCGAATGTCTGTTTGTTTATTACCTTATAATTTTTGAACCACGTTACGGAATCACACGAAACTTTGCACATTTATTTGGTTTTACCCCGGCAAGGTTATAGGTATGGTTTTATTTGCAAGAATGTCGTAAATTTTCCAAGGGGGCGTGGCACCTCCCATAGGCCTGCAAATGTTTAATCAGCTATAACTTCGGAACTATACGTCGCATGAATTTGAAATTTGATTTGAAGTCATATCTATGGTAGTTACTTATGTTAGGGATTATATAAATGAGTTTGTCTAAAAACGTGGGGCGAAACCCGCGGGCAAAAGCTAGTAATCTATAATATCCAAAAAAAAATATTAATTATAAATTATAATTAAAGATTGATGGAAAAAATAAAAATCCAAAAATAATGGTTGAATCTGATCGGGAAAAATAGAAATCCAAATTTAACCGTTTAATTATGATTTTTATTAGATGTGGACCAAAGCAAATTTTTCAAAATACAAAAAGTTTCAGAAATGTACAGTATCGGCCATATCTATAGCAAACCATTTCAAAATGATATTGTGTGCCACTTATGTTTATTTATTTATTTTTAAGAAGAAGGAACGCAAAAAACCACATTTCGTGCCCGGAATTAACAAATCAACTCTAAACAATGATTTTATGTGTATTTATCTTATATAATAAAATTAACAAATACCTACTCTAGTCAAAAATTGAAGGGACTAAAAACTGTGTACTCAAAAAAATTATAACACTTCCGAGAAAAAAGTTTGAAATTTAGTTTAAGATTTGTTGCACTTTTTTGTAGTTTTCTACAAATTAATAAACTTGGGTTTATATGGGGTTTGTCTGAGAATGAACTATATTTTAATTGAAAATTCTTAAAAATAAATAACTAAACATAAGTGGCACACAATATCACTTTGAAATGGCATGCTATAGATATGACATGACCGATACTGTTGGTATTTGTTAATTTTATTAGCCATACTTATAAGATAAATACACATAAAATCATTGTTTAGAGTTGGTTTATTGATTCCGAGCACGAAATGTGTTTTTTTGCGTTCCCCACACTCTGGGCACTTTTAGCACGTGTTAACACATTTCTAACACTTGTCAGAGCGTAACTTATTTTACCGCTCTAATTAACGAAACAGCCCGGAAAAATCATAACCGTTACTGACCCTGTTTTTTTGCTTACAAATTATTTGTTTACCATTATCCTTAATTCCGTTGAAATTTTACACATAGCACACAGTAACTAAGATTCGTGGTAGACTAGAGCTCTCCCATTCAAACAGGCATTTTATTTTGTATTTTTCGTGCATACGCGACTATTTCAGAAAAAAGGTTTCTGTTTTTGGTTAGAACTTTACCATATAAGCGTAATGTTTCATCAACAATTTTTATTGAGTTTGAGGCCATTTTTTATGAAAAAGGTTGTGGAAAAACAACAGTAGTTTACACACGGTAGAAGTTATAGCTGCTATTTCAAAGATCAACACATCTCCCCACCAAACTTATTCATCGAGTTCACTGGGACTTAAACCAGCAACTCCGGCGTTCAAAGCTAAGTTCGCTATGTAAGCTGTTGTTGCTCATTTTAACTTTCATTTATTATGCAAATAAACGTAATGCTAATACTCACAAATTGTCTGCGCACTGCCGGTGGTGTGGCCGCAGTTTTGACCGGTTGTCTCTGTATTGCAGTGCTGCTCGCATTCTTCGACCCTAAGTTGCGTGGTAAAGTTTGAGACTTATTGATAACCGCCAGATTTCCTGGACGTTTTGAGCTTACTGTCAATTTGCGACCCGAAGCTGGAATATATGGAAGGAAGGTATTGAGAGTGAATAAGCAAGATATAGATCATTTTCGAATTTACATACACACATACATATCGTCGATGTTTTTTGCAAAACCGCCTGTCCTACGGCACTCAAATTTTACAGGAGAGTGAAAAAACTTTTTATTCTTTGAAGGCATTGCCTTGATAGGCGGTATTTTCTCTAGCTATTATTTTACAAATCTGTTGTTTTAATAACGATTACCAAATCTCATTTTTGCCACAACAGTGCAATACAATACAAAGAAACTTTCAAGAGCTGAAAATCTTTGTACACTTTTGCTTTTTTAAAAGCAGTGGATTTATGGAAATTCAAAATGGCCGCTTTAGTAGAAGTGATGAAATTCATGAAACTCACGCGCCGACAAATAATATCACAAATAAAATTAGAAAAATCTAATAAGTGAAATGAATATGGTGTGGGATTTTGAAAAGTCAAAATGGCGGATCCAAGAATATCTACCATTTAATACGGAAAAGTTAATATCGAACGTACGGACAAGGCGTATGAGTAACATTCTCATCTCATCTGAATAACTCATACGCCATGTATGTACATATTTATGTATGTCGTACGTTCGATTTTAACATTTTCGTTATAAATGGTATGGATAGACCATTAAGAATTCTTAAAATGTTAGACCAGATTTGAGTTCAGCAATGTTGAATACAAAAAGACAAAAAAATCAAGCTCCATTTTGGATCAGCCATTTTGAAATTTTAAAATTTGACACGAGGTTTGAATCGAACAACCAACCCCCAGAGTAACAAGTTTCGAGCAAAAATTACCAAAATGTATTTCCATAAAAAGTGTACAAACATTTTCAGCCCTTGAACGTTTTTTTGTATTGCGGCAATTTTTTACTTGGACCGAGCCATATATGGATGTGTGTCCATATGTATGTATGTATGTATAGCATTCATACATTTCGTAAATGCAAATTAAATTAACCCAAACGCTTAAAAATTACACCAGAGTGGAGGGAATTCTCCCCCAATTTGAGAGGTACATATGTAAGTCTGTACATAATCCCCTTTTAATTTAACCCCGCTAAACAAGTTACCGCTTATTTTAACCAATAACTCAGTCCAAAAATCTAATCGAATAATTGAACAATTGGGTTAATTTTATTTGCACTAATTTCAGTTGGCTTTGGTTAAGCCGAGTTGCGCTTGAGAATACATGTGTGGATGCTATATTATTTTGGGGAATTTTTGGCAGTGATAAAACATCTAAAAATTCAAAAGAAAGCAGGTAGGTGTTGCATAAAGTAGCTGTTAGACGTGGCAAAAGCAAGTCCTTTTCAAATATCTCTCAAACTCAAGAATTTCCAAGAGGTTACAGGAGCACTTACGCCTTGCAAGTAAAGTAGTTTTGAAAGTAAATTTTTTGAAATTCCTGAAAATCAAACTTTCCTATACTACTCTTTGTCTGTTTACACGGACAAGTCCGCTTTGAACTATGTTGCCAGACATTTTTATGCTTATAACAAAATTAATGACCTGAAAATTTTACTAAACCTGCTAAAATGTGCACAAAACAGACATAAAATGTCGAATATGTTACATGTCGAATGTTGTTACAGTATTTTTCACATCTTATTCGACATTTTTTTTTTAATTCGCTAAAAAAAGCGTTAGGCGGCAACACTCGATTGGTTTGAAAGCACTTGCAGCAAAAATGAAAACTGCACGAGCAAGTTGAAATTATTTCTCGAATGCGATTTGCGTAATAATAGTTGCAGTTACACCTTGCAGTTTTTATTTCCGAAAGAGATTTCTGCAAATTTGCAAAAAGGACTTTCTGGCTGTTTACATGCTCGCATTGCCACGTTTAACCGCACCTTAAGAATAAATCTCTAATCGTTCCCACGACAGTCTGGTCTACGTTACCGGAATGACCCAGATTTATATCTGGCCAAGAATTGTCACTCCAGCAACACTCCCCAAAAACTCTTTGGGAAATTTGTATAAAGTTACAACAACAATAACAAATAAAGCTTAAATGCAAATGAGTATAAATAAGCTAAAGCGGGCGGGTGCAAATGCTAGTAACTAAACCAGTAAATTTAAATTACTGTATAAAATTTAAATAAAATATTGAATGAAAGTTGGCGCGGCTGGGCTACACTAAGTAAATAAAACTTTTCTCGATTAATTTATAGTATAGTGTATGTACAGCTATTTATGTCCTGGATCTAATTCTTAATTTTAATCTTAAACTGAAGACGCGCTTCCCTTGCATCCGAATTGTCAGGTTTTTTCGTAACGAAATCACCGCTAAAGATATTTGTCAGGTGAGTGTACGACAGGGCTTAACGCTATCCCATTTAGCAATCTTAGAAAGTTGCGTATGTGTTCCTAGCAGAAAAAAGTACGCAGCTACGAACAGCTAAGATTTCCTTTGGCTTATCACATTGGTTCGTTACTATTGATTTTCCCAAACGTGCTGCTACTTTCTTGAGGCATAAGTTATAAATTTATCACCGTTATCAATACACAAAATCCTATTTAGCATTATTTTGGAAATGCTTTTCACTTACCTGTTAGGGATGATTTACTTCCGGCAGCGCTGGTACCGCAGCTATTTGGTTTAGACCTATCCGAACTTATTTTACTATTTGATTTGAGATTATTTTGATAACTAGTGCAAGGTAACCGCGACTCAGTCTTTGCTGAGGGCAAACGTTTGGTGGCAGTAGTGCCATATACTGCGCCATTTACCACCATTGGTGATACCATCAACACCTTATTAGTGTGTGGTATATGGTCAGATTGCTTTGCTTCTGTTTCTTTGAGTTTTAGAGCATTTAAATTCAATTCTTCTTCACGTAATTCTGCAGAGGGGTGCACAGACATGTATGTACATGCATATACATATTAGGGTTATGAAATAAAAAAGAAATTAAGAAATTAATTAAGTAAAGACCATTATCAAGCAAATAATATAAAAACATATAAAACATATGCATAAATGTTATAAAATCACGAAGTTTTATCGTTATTATAGCTCACCAAACAATAAAAGCTTATTAAAAGATTTCTAAACCCTATTTGCAGCAAAAAAAATATATAAAAATAAATAGTGTAAATAACGGTTCATTGGAACGGTCGTTTCATTTACAAAAGCTTTACATTTATTATTGTTTATCCAGACCTTAGAACCCAACTTACCATTGGGGATGCGTTATTATGATACGTAGAACATATTTGCAATACAAAAGTAAACAAGTAATTTTTAAGCAAAAAACACAACCGACTTCAATTCTCATATAAAAATTTAGGAGTGCCGTTAATTTTTTCATGATCCAATGATCATAACATACATAAACAATAAATATATATATATATATATTCCGACGAATTAATAATCTCATTCATACATACTCAGGGAAAATAATAGCTTTAGATTGCCGTTATATAGGACAGATGTGGATAAAATGATCATATTCTACAAAGGATTAAAGAGTTTTAACGAACTATCGCCACAAACAAGAAATTGTGAAAGCATTGCCAGCTTCCAAAGATCATTACTTGATCACTGTCGAAAACTGCACTGAAAGGTGCAGATTGGAAACTAGTCCTTTCCAACTGCCCTAATAACAGAAGAAACAATGTGAGAAGTGAAGGTGCAGATTGGAAACTAGTCCTTTCCAACTGCCCTAGCAACTGAAGCAATAATATGAGAATAACAATATGGCCTGGAGCTTGCCTGTTCAGACCACTTGCCTAATTTGCCTGCTCTGCCGTATGATTAGGAACTACAATTGTGTTTTCTGGGAATTTCCGACCTTGAACTCGATTTTTAAAATAAATTGAAGTGGAAGGTCGGAACTTTTTGGAGGGGGCAATTGCATATTTTTATTCATGCGGCCTAATATAGACATATGTAATATAATATATATAGTTTTTGTATACATAATTTTATATTTAATTGATAATTTTTGCAATAAGAACACTACAATTCATATACATGCGTACGAATATCATTCTTGTATTTTTAAATCGTAAGACTGTAACAAATAAATAAATAAAAATAAAAAATCTACTCCTTTTTTTGAAGTCGGTTAAAAATGGGACTATTTTAAATGCAAAACAGATTGCATGCAAACTTTAAGGATTTACGCATCTCTACATAAAACCAAACAAAGCAATAAATAACAACATAGGCATCTGTGTTAGCTTAAAGTATCGTGAGCAAGCCAAGTCGTATACAGATTATTAGTTATCAACAAACGCAATTGAGAAAATAACTATAAAGTATGTATATACCATGATTATTATTGAATCATGTGTATATACATACATGTATATGAACAACTTACCTAAAAAGTGTAAACGATCGCGAGCCATTGAAAGGTTTGTTTGCATTTTGTCGTGAAGACGTTGTGCTCGCTCCCATACGTCACCACGTCCACTCCAGCAATCAACAGCAATTCCATCTTCCAATTCCTTAATGCCTTTACGATACAACTCGATGGCAAGTTCTTTGTGTCCTGACAGAAGCAAAAATTTGCATGTTCGTTAGTTAACGTTTTTACCGATTGTACTTACCTTCGTTTTCTTCATCAATTTTAAGAGCTTTTGAAATGTACTCAAACGCCCTACGGTGGTGATGTTTTTGCTTCGCCAATAAGGGATCTCCAGGACCCGGTGAATTAGATGTACTGCCTCTTCCCGACATTTCAAGTTGCTGCGTAGAACGAAAACGCTGTTGACCTCCGACTGCAGCAATGTTTCCCACTCCACCAAGCGGATAAGTAGCCAACGAGGAATTACGTGAATGATATTGTACAACTTGATTTTTATCAGCTTCAGTTGTTATAGAATTTTGATTTTGAGATGTTTGAAATGATTTATTTGAGCCGACAACAATCTCAATGTTGCACTCTCGTTTGTGTGGCCGATAGATCACTTTTGTGCTCGCTCCATATACGTAGCGAAATATGCAAAATAATTGATAAATCAACGAACGTAAAATGTTGAATAGGAAAATTATGGGAAATGAAACGATATAAAGATTTTGCTTGTGCACAGAACTGATCGATGGGGCGCCGTCAGTAGGGGTTTTGTCATATTCCCCGTCTGTTTCCTCGTCTGTATGCGAAGACCTATTGGTGTTAGCGTGAGATGGTGTGCGGCGGCTGGAAGACGATGCTGGTTTTGAGTCGTCGGCTAATACAACACTACAGGTACTAGATGATTTGCGGTGTGTACGCGCGCCACTGCTTATATTGTTGCTATTGGTGCTGTTCTGGCGGATAGGAGACTTGGTGCTGCTGCTACTATTGCTCGCGCTGCCGCTAGCATTGCCTGAGGAGGACGATGAAGTCGATTGCGTTTTGTTACGCACCATCGAAGTGTTTTATTTTATGCTCCCTGCGCGTCGTTGCACAGTTTACCCTTAAATATATCGTTTGTGTTTATGCAATGCCTTACTTTACCAGAACAATGCAAGGGCAATGTAATATTTTTTTGTTTTTATTCCATTTAGTTAACGTAATTTTCTTTCGGGCCTCTACAAATTCTCTTTATTCAACAAAGATTACATCAAAGTATGCTTATATGCTTCATCCCTTATTGCAATGACAGTCTTGTTCAAGGCGTATCAACTACAGGTGATAGCGATAGACGCCATGCTTCTTCTTATGAGCAAGCTTGCGTCAAATTATCGCCTGCTTTGCTTTGTTTACATATCCGCGTATACATATTCATACGTAAATATATACCCTGCAAAAAAATGCTTCCGAAATCTTTAAGGGCCAGTTTTTCAGCGCCAGTTTAAACTTTGATTTCTGTAAGTAAACAGTAAACTGAGTTTAAATTGAACAGCTGGCTACCATATTGTTACGATTATCCTCGAAAACTTGAGGGATTTCCCAAATATACT